CCTGGGCACACCTGAGAGCTCACACAGACACACCTGGGCACACCTGAGAGCTCACCCAGACACACCTGGACACACACACACACACACACACACCTGGACACACCTGGACACACACACACACACCTGGACACACACACACACCTGTATCACTCACCTGCTCCCCAGGCTGACTCACCTGCGGGCCATGAGGCCGTACCTGTCGGCAGGTGCGCCCAGGGCGGCGTGCACGCTGCGCACGGTGTTGATGCAGCGGAACACCAGCAGCATGGGGCGGGGCAGCGCGCGCAGCACCTGCACCATGTGCGGGAAGCGCCGCGCCGCCATCCCCCGCATGTACTCGCGCTCCTCCGGCCGCAGGTGACCCTCAGGTGAGCCCCCCAGGTGAGCCCAGCCCGGGGCCGCCGAGCCCAGGTGAGCTCCCAGACCAGAGGGGTTCCCGCCCAGGGGGCGCTGCAGGAGCATCTCCGAGAAGAGCAGGTAATCTGGGGGGACAGGTGAGGACAGGTGAGCTCAGGTGTGTCCCAAATACCCCCCAGGTGAGTCCCAGATGCTGCAGGAGCATCTCTGAGAAGAGCAGGTAATCTGGGGGGACAGGTGGGGACAGGTGAGCTCAGGTGACCCCCAGGTACCCCCCAGGTGAGCCCCAGATGCTGCAGGAGCATCTCCGAGAGGAACAGGTAACCTGGGGGGACAGGTGGGGACAGGTGAGGAGAGGTGTGTCCCAGGTACCCCCAGATAACCCCCAGGTGACCCCCAGGTACCCCCCAGGTGAGTCCCAGATGCTGCAGGAGCATCTCCGAGAAGAGCAGGTAATCTGGGGGGACAGGTGAGCTCAGGTGTGTCCCAGGTACCCCCAGATAACCCCCAGGTGAGCCCCAGGTAACCCCCAGAGCCATCAACTAGAGCCCCAGGTGAGTCCCAGGTGACCCCCAGAATCCTCAGGTGAGCCCAGGTGACCCCCAGGTACCCCCCAGGTGTCTCCAGGTACCCCCCAGGTGACCCCAGGTGACCCCAGGTGACCCCAGGTGTCTCCAGGTACCCCCCAGGTGTCTCCAGGCACCCCCCAGGTGTCTCCAGGTACCCCCCAGGTGACCC